ACACACAGCCGTAAACCCTACCACGCACGCAGCACACACACACACACAGCACACGTACCTCACACACACACACGCACGCACGCACGCAGCGCACGACGCGACGCACGCAACGCACACACACACACATGCACAAACACACACGCACACACACACACACACACACACACACCACACACCACACACACAACAGCACCGACACACACACACACACACACACACACAGCACACATGACACAACACTACACCACAACACACACACACACACACCACACACCACACACACACACATCAATATATATATATATATAGTATCTATATATATATATATAAATAGGAATAGAATCGTATACGCTCTGGTCGCTTATTTATCTCTATATATATATATACATATACACTCCTGATAACTCCATGTGAGTGTAAGTTTACGTGTATTTATGTTTGCATGCTGACGCCGTGAATGTGTAGGTTGACGAATAGTTCAAGCCAAATAGCATCACCATGCACGTATCACCTAACGAGAATTCCAAACTGATATATTAAGCCCATGGAAATTTAAGTTGGCCTGTGTACCTACTACCTACCTACCTAGGCTGGCAGTTCATATGCGAGCGGTAGTTCCATGCAAGTTTCAGCCGCTGTGTATTTTCACCAGTATGTGTGTAACCGGCATGTGTACGAAGTGTGACTAGACGTATCTATCTTAAAAGAGAGGAGAGGCAGATTTTCTGACGCGGTAATCTTCGCCGCGGTGAGCATCAAGCCCACGCCACCGATCTCAGTGTATAGCCCGTGAGTCGGACACCAACATAGGCTTATCCATATTTGTTAAATCCACACATATTTGTAGTTATAATGACGATAAATAGGCCTTAATACGGGCGATAATTTTAGCAATGGGGTGATGTCAGAAAAGTAGAACAGCCAAATTCCCACGAATGTAGCCATCTAGCGGACAAAAGCCTAACTTTGTTAATACCAGGTTAAACTATGCATAATTTATACAATTTTTTAGTATGCACCCAGTTGTCACTTGAGTCTCAAAAGCCACACAACACACACTTTTAGTGGTTAATTTTCGATCATTTGTATTTTTAAAATTGTAATTTGTCTGTGTATACATTCGGATATAATGTATAACATGGTATAAAGAATTCAGATTGTTAAAATCAGGTGCTATTAATCTTTTTGATAATGTCATCTATGGTGACTTCACTGGTGCATATCTCTGGCAACTTGACCAAATAATTTGGTTAGAATGAGGTAATATCCATACGTTTGGAGAAACATTTACTTTTTTAAATCTGTTCATTATTTTACGATGAACATGACCCTGAACTGATACTGTGCTATATTGACGTGTTTAGTTTATTGACCTATGTATTTAGTTTAGTTTAGCGAATCCCAATGATAAGAGAGACACGTGACAGATGTCACAAATTGTGTATTTAAAAGGCGAGACGAGGCTTGCAAAGCCAGAGAGGCATATTCATAATAACTTGGCACAATTTCTTAACAATGTTGTATATCCAAAAGCTTTGACTACACAGAATCAAGGAATCGTTCAAACTGTCAAAATTTTGTCAGAATATTTCTTATTGTTTATTTCTCTGTTACGAATCTATCCTTAGAATTAAGTAAATAAAGTTATAAAAAAGATAAACCGAGCCACCCGCTACCCTAGAGTGTCGGCTGAAAATTAGTCTTGCGTGTATACCAACAAGAGCGTATTAAGAATTCTTAATACGCTCTTGATGCCATGCTGGTGGGAGGGTGATTACTGTCTTCTATCCATCTCGGAATCTCTACCCGTAGATTGAGTCCGTGTGTCTGGATAGTGTTTAGATTGTGAATCCAGTACGTTCTCTTTCCTTTCTGATGAGGATCGTATGGGTGAAGGGGGGGGGGTGAAAATATTTTATAATTAAGTAAGTAGGCCTATATGTGGCGGCATTTGTTTTAAAAAGTGCCCGTGCAACGCCGGGTACCAGGGTAATATTTATATATAGTTACAGAACCACCGTGAGAGGGCGCTTCATCGCACGCGTAACCAGTAAATATTGTCGCTCTCAGATCTATCAGTTACGTCATCACAACGCCGTGGATCTGCGGACGGCAAACGCGCCGACGATGGTCACGTACACTACCGCCGTCACCGACGGCGAAGCGCTAGCCGATGGTCTGGGTGAAGGTCAGGCAAAGGTCGAGGCCCAGTTCGCGCGTCTGCAGAAGGTTATCGTGCAGGTTCGTCAAGAATACGAGACAGAGTAATAAACGTTAGGCTTGTTTGTTTGGGACGGACACGTCTGATCTGGATCAGTTGGTCCCGATTCGCTCAAATAAGTACAATCGCGCATCCAATGCTTCAGCAATAAATGGCTGAGACATGTAGGCCTACCGCCATATTGTATTTCCTTTGAACCCAACTCGTCAACACATTAGTGGATCGAGATCAAGTGATCAACAACAGATCAAGTGGATCGAATGCAGTTGATTCCCCAAACAAACGCGCCTCTAAATTACAGAGCAGAAACAAACTCAAATGCAAACTACCTAATTTAGTAACGCAGGCAATACACACGGCATGTCACGTTGAGCATATTCTCCAATATAATATAAAGTCTATAGTTAAAATGCAATGGTTCGTTATTGATACAGGATGGCTCTAGCTAGTTTTTATATTAAAGTTGCTGCGTGAATCGCGAAGATTCGTCACACCTGTTTTACTAAATATGATCGCCCCGGTAGGGAATACTTGTTTCTATTATTTTATCTGCGTTTTCTACTACACAGAAAGAGCTCGAGATCGTGAGGTTGAAGCAACGGCTGCAGGAAGCGGGTGAGCCTCAAGCATCCGGCAGTGGCGACGCAAAAAAGAACAACACAAAAAATAGCAAGAAGAAAAAAAATCCGTGAAATGTACCACTAGAGAGCAACAATCCCCACATCTACAGTTCTGCGAATTTTGCCTCCAGGCGGTAGAACTTTCCCTAGCCGCAATTGCGAGCACCGTTACATGCAACGAACAATAGAAAGTCCTTTTCATGAATCGTCTTTTCCCGAAATTTGCCACCGGAGTTTCTATCACGCCCCCGTAAGCTCGATCACGTCGTATGCTGCACGGCTCCAGGAAATAAGGCACCGCGCTGGAATACCGCGCCTGCTATCATGTAGGTCAAGGTCAAGCGATTACGAAGCCATTCAGGTATAGCTACTGAGCAGAGATTAACCGTGTGCGTTAACGCCGATATTTGTACGATATTTCTGCTGAACGGCAAACACCCATGCGCATTATAGTAGCATTTAATGCGCGAAAAACTCGTAAGCGTCAATCAACAGGCGTGGTTAGTTGGGCCGAAACCCGATATAGTGCAATGTATTGGTATATCGGTGGAAATATAGACGCCACCGGCGCTTCTAATATCACACGAAGAAGTAAGCACGTATTATTAATTACTACCGATGAAGAGCACCTCTTTCATAAAGTTTAGTTTCCAGTTTTATCCCATGTTTAGAGGGAAGCTAAATGCTCACGATTCCTCAGAACAAGCTGTTAGATATACGACTTACACTTACAGTTGTTTTTACGTGTGGGGTCTAGCTACGCACATAACAATGTAATAATTCTTCTTATTAACCTGCACTGGTGTCAATATACAAAAGCAAGATAAGCACATTTTAATCAGGTTAACACAGTATAGTGTTGTATATATGCAATAAATACATCCGGTTATCTGAAATTACTGTATAATATTATTAAATAATTAACTCCCCAATAGAACCCTTGGTTATACATAATTATTATCATATTTAATTTTCACCATGTAAAAATTCCTCTCTAAGGTTACATTTCTGTTGTTTTTTATAAGAAACATACGATCCTCATTAACAAACAAACATTCCGTCCAGATATATTTCTTTAATTTGCAAGTTATAATTATTATATTAGCTGTTAGCCTGATAATCACTTTAGCAAGAGTCGA